ACATGGAGACAGCTCGTCACCTTCCACATTCTACAGCCTTTGGTTTTCATTTTTCTTCCTCTCCACTATCTAAATTCCCATCTTAAATTACCACTTTCTCTTTCTTACTAACTTTTCAGTCATGTCCAACTCTGTGCTGACTCCTTGATCTGGAAATTGGTTTTCCTGAGGAAGGGTCCAAAGAGGAGAGTACCCCGTCCCTAGGGACACTAATGCCAACTTCCCTCTTGCTTCACCTCAGCCTGCAGCTCTGAGCTCCACTCAGGCCCTGCATCTTCCCTCCTCACTTCTGGGCAGTCTGACGAGCCCACAGACTGAAACTCCAAAGCCACAGGTTCACACTGAAAGAGCCAAGGACTCCGCGTGAAAATACAAACAAACAAAAAAAAAAAGATTTCCATCAATAACTTTAATATTGATTATGTGTTTCAATTATTGTGCATATGAGGCTAAATATACCACTTGAATTAATTTCAACTGCTCCTTTGGAAAACAGGAAGTTTTCCTTTACATATATTGCTCACAGTGTTTCCACTGGGCAGGATCAGAAGTTGCCCTTCGCCTTCACACTCACCTCAGACCCTCAGCACTTTGGAATTAAAGTGCTAATCTGATACACAGGGAGAGGTGAATGCAGAGAGGGGTGAAGCAGTGTCCAAGTGTCTCTCAATGGAAATGAGAGCTGTCAGCTCCAATCCACCCTACTCAGTCAGCATCTCCGGCAGAGCTCAGACACTTGGGTTTTAGCAAGTCCACCAGGAGATTTGGGTGCACACACTAGTCTGAGTCTTGTGGATATCTTTGTTTTGTGCTGCTACAACAGAATACCTGAGGATGGCTGATTTTTAAAGAACAGAAGTCTGTTTTCTCACAGTTCTGGAGCTTGGGAATTATAGGAGCAAGAGGCTGGCACACAGCAGGGTCTCCACACAGAAGAATGTGGAAGAGGAAGCAAGCAAGAACTGAAGTGTGAGGCGTCTTCTGCAAGGGCCTTCAAGATCCCACCTCTGAATACTATCACCCTACCAACACCCAAACTTGGGGAGGGACTTATTCAAATCACAGCCGTGGACATAGATGCAGAGTCACAATGGGCACTCCAGATCATCTGAGTCATTTTCAAGCACCGTCAACCTATAGCAACCTGATCTTCAGGCAGTAGTGCCCCCAGCGCTATATGGGGAAAAAAGACCCTTCGAACACTCAGCTGCATTCCTGGCTGAACAGACTTCATCAGCTGTGCAGGACTAGAGGCAACCCAATGGTAAAACACAAGCTTAGCATGTACAAGGCCCTGATTTTGATCCCCATCACCAAAGGAAAAAAAGACATATTGTTAAATTGTTAAATCCAACAGACCACATATACAATGCTCTAACTCGGGCTCTCAGGTCTGGGAAGAGTCCTAATTTTCAACCCATGATGTAGAAGATGAGGAAGAGACAGGAAGAAGGCAAGACCAGGAAGAAAAGAAAACATGGTTTGAAAACAATGGTTTTCAAAGGTCTAAGAGACACGAGGTGAAATAAACATACACACTGTCATTGCTACTTGGTTCAGTGGCGCTGTTTTAGGATGAAAGACAAAGAGGAAACAAGGAACAGGCAACAGGAGAATACTGATAAGCTAGGAAAATGAAATAAGCAGGAAGGAAAGGCAGAGAGGACAGAGAAAAGGAGGGGAGCGAGAGCCACACCATTCCCTCTGTGAATGCCACATTTGTAAAGCTTCATCCATGCTAAGATGATTGTCTCCATCTTAATGACTGTCGGATTAGGACATGTCTTAGTATTTCTATTATCACCTTTGATGAAAGGTGGCATTTTTATTCTGTTTTCAGAATCTTGTTTCTAAACAGCAATCTAGTTAATAAAAATATTATTTGTTCCTTAGCTTTGTAATGCTTAGACCACTGCTTATCTTAAAGTTATTTACTGAGGGCTGGAGAGATGGCTCAGCACTTAAGAACACTAGCTGCTCTTGTGGATGACCTAGCACCCACACGGCAGCTAATAGCCATCTGTAACTGCAGTTCCAGGGGCTCCAACGCCTTCTTCTGGCCCCTGCCTGCATTGCATAAATGTCGTGCACTTAAATACATGGAGGCAAAATATGTGTACACATAAAATTTAAATTTTTAAATTTAAAGATATTTAGTGGTTTAGATTATTAACAGAAGAAAATGACCCACCCAGTCATCTTTTACATTCCAGCAGAGGATATGCTAACCAGAAATAATATGAAAAATTCAACTTTGCAGAGGTTTCTGGTTGCTTATTCTCAAATCTTCGGCACTGAGGACTGGAGTGCAAGTCTGCCCCTCCTTCCATGCAAGCTGCCGTGGGTCGAGTAGGCAAGCACTGAGTTAGATCTTCAGCATTGCCAGTGCAGACAAAGCATTTCAAGATACTGACAGTTTCTGTAAGGTAACCAGCAGCTTAACTGTGTGTGTTGACCACGAGAGACAGGATGCAATTTCTTATCTTCTCAATTTGCTCAACTAGAGGATCCGCCTGCCATTTACCATTCTGTTTGGTATTTTATGTATCAGTGTTTCTCTCTCTCTCTCTCTCTCTCTCTCTCTCTCTCTCTCTCTCTCTCTCTGTGTGTGTGTGTGTGTGTGTGTGTATGTGTGTGTGTCTTGCTTCCTCTCTCCTTTAATAATGCATGGCTTCTTGATGTTTTCTTGGTCTAGACATAGAATCACATCCTCTTTTTCGGGTCCTTTCATTTTTACTGCATTCTCTGAACCACTTCTATCTTTTTTTTAACTTTGCTTTCTCTGAAATTCTATGGGCAGCAGCAAGTGAAGCCTTAAAGTCAGGACAGGTTGATGACACTCTTCCCACTGTTTGTAAAGTACTCTAAAGTGCATTTTAATAACACAAACGTTGTATGTGTTGTGAGTCTGAACTTATCACCGCTGCCCTCTGAAGAGTCTCCGCAGTGCTCTGTGCTAATAATACCTGAGATTTTTCCTTCAAGATTACAGCTGATTAAAAAGTCAGTCATTCTCAAGGGCAAAGGAGACGTTTCCTGCTGGCACATACAGCTTTGGCTTCACCTTCCCCTACGGGAGATAAGGCTTATCTCCCAGTAACTAAGGAGCATGACTTGATTAAATGAAGGTTAGACTTGGTCACTGGCCTTACTCAGAGGGACAACAGAAAGCCAGGTCCTCCTTAAAGTCAGAGTGCCTCAAAGCTCTGGATCTTAGTACAGCACACCATCCAGCACGATAGTAAAGTATTGTATAATGCATATAACGACACTGGAGAACATTGTCCACAGCCCCCAGCATTCACATGCCCAGCACCATGCTGGCAAGGGACCTCCATAGAATTCCAGGTGAATCAAGAATCTCTGACTCATCGAGGTTAACCCAAACTCATATGAAATAGTTAACTATTCGAAGTCACCAAAAATTGGAGGTTTATAGATTACAGCAGCTATCATTTTACTGTTAAATCTCAAAATTAAACATCGTTAATCCAAGCTCCCATTTTTAATATTTAGAGTGAATATTTTAATTTCTTCACTCTCCTATCAGACAAATCTTTGCTGCTTTGTGGGAATCATTCCCTAAGCCTAGCCTTTCAGTCTAGGTTGGGTTTCTTCCACGTATCTCTTGAGCACCCGATTTACCATAATTGTAACTGACTGTACAGACATCTTTCTTCCCAACTCCATAGTAAAGTCCTTGAAGAGTGAAGTCTGTACTTTGATCTCTGTATCCCCAACGCCAAGCTGGCACTCAGGAATAGTTTCTAATAGGAGCAAACAGATGAAAAATAATAAGGAAATTAAGCTTTGTCACGTGGAAAAATAAGAAGGCCCAAAGGGGATGTGGTAAAAGTTCATAAACGATGAAAGATATGAAGAAGAGGAACTTTTAAAATCATTCCCTAGAAAATCAGAAATAGAGAAAATGCTAAGCACAATCCCTTACTAACAAAAGGTTTGATTCAGAAGTTAGTAAACTTGAGTATCTTAACTTCAAGAATTGATATTTTTTAAAAATTGTAAAACTTTATTGAAGAAAACTTGGTGTGTTCTGAGGGTTTCTCAAGTTTTCTGAGGTTGCTCATGAAAGGAAAATAAACTTTTGAGAATAAGGCCCTTAGATCTCTGGAAGACAGGAAACGTTTAAAACACCTCTTTTGTAAAGATTCTGAAATCCTTTTATTCCTTTTGCGTGTGAATGGTCTTGTGGGTCAAGCCCAGGACCTGACACAGGCAAGTACTCCTTTAACTAAACTACATCCCAGCCCCTTCAAAATCATTATTTAAATATGTGATAGTGGTGTTGCCTCATGCTCTCCCAGCTAACATTCCAGCTGAAATCTACAGGAGTGCTCCCAATCCTGTGTGGTACCATTTATCTTTTTTTTTTTTTTTTCAAGATTGTATCTTGCTACAGTGCCCAGCCTATTAAACTCCTGGGCTCAAGTGATTTCCCCTCCTTCTCCTCCCAAACAGTAGGCCTGAGGATATGGCTCTCCACAGCTGGCTTTCGTTAGCATTTAGAGAACCTATGTGGTGCCTAAGGACAGCAAAAGTAATGGTAGTGAGCAATCCAGAACTTTCCAGCGCATTGCTTCTGGATCCCTCACCCCTATACACACAGGACATTCTTGGGCATACCAAGAAAGAACTATTACAAGCTGTGGAACAATCAACAGTCTCACTCTTTCAGACTCTTCTCCTCTCCATACCAGAAAAATCCACGCAAAGGAATGGCCAGACTCATGAAAAGTTTGGTTCTTCCACAGTGACTTCTGTTTACTCTAAAATACAGATCATACATGAGTGCTGGGTTTTGGTCATCCTTGACCTTTCCATTGCTTTCCCAGGCTCAGGCTCAAAACATTTAACTTTCATTTGGAAAGATATGACTGATCTAAAGAGCTAAAGCATAAAACAGACATTTCCCTTTACAGAAACAACATTTAACCTTTAACTCAGAACTTCACACGAAAACTTTAAAGGTGCACACTCACCTGTAGCTGAGATATAGTTAAAGGGTATCGGAACAATATCCAGGTGACGCCTTCGCTGCAAGGTGGGATAGTAAGAGAGCCTTCATAGACCCAGTAATCCCGTAGCAAAGGATCTGTTCAAATATACGGACATTTTACGAAAAGGCAAGTTGATTATTTTAAAGACTCCAGCAACAATTTCCAAAATGGCAGACTGTCCATGTGCCATTTTTCAGTTTGAGTCTTGAATACAAATTCTTAAACTATCATTGTGAAGAAAATAATCAATGAAAAAACATCAATTCCCTTTCTAAGTACAGAGAGCGCTATCACTGGAGTGCTATGCATAGCTATCAGGCTTAATCAATTTAGGAAAACACTGCCCTTTTTACATTAGCTGATTCATAGCTAATATCTATTAAACTACTTGTTAGGTACCAATTAGAGGATTATATGTCAATCCATTTAATCTTGACAACAAATCAAGGAGACAGATACCATCATTACCATCATTTTAGATGGGGAAACTAAGTCATATAGTTAGTAATTTGTTGAAGGTCACACAGCTAACAACAAATCCAGCAGAAGTTGGATTTGAACCCGTGTAGTCTGCCTTCAAAGGCTGTGTTTTTAACCATTCCTTTGTAGCTATTCTGTTAGCTTCTTCAACAGCAAATTATTAAAATCATAATACAAAAGAAGAAACAAGTCCCTCAGTTTAAATCATTTGCCACTTCCTTAGAGGAATGGGGGATTAAACACAATAAGGGAAAGTTCAACATAGGGCAGAAAGTAGGATTTGTAGAGCACTTAAGTGTAGAAAGGAGGAGACACAGTTCAACAATCTATCTGGTCTTGTTCAAAACACTAGGAAACAGCACATAATTTACGCAGAGAAATGTGAAGACCAAAATTTTGTCTAAAAACCACCTTGAACTCCAAGTTATAGTCAGAGTATTTCATGTGCAATTATTACCTGTGCATAAATATGATTATAATATTTAAATAGTAGTACTGTATGAAGTAACCCTAGAAAATTAGATATAAAGTTTATTTCATTCTATAAATTACCCAACAACTCTTCAAAGTATATCAGGGTTATTTTTTAGTGTGAATACTTTACACCAAGGTGGCGGTTTTACAAATGACAATGCTGAGAAATTCTTCATGGAATAATGGAATTCAGTGGCAAAACGTTTCTACATTTCCAAAGGTTTCCTCCCTTATCACCAGCGATCTAAAACTGTATCTGCTATAGAGAATACAAATTGCAAAGAAATGTTATGAACTAATGATATACGTTTCCATACATGCTAAGCAAAGCAGCACATACATAGCTAAAATTTCGTTAGGGTCATCTGATCAATAAACGCATACCTGGTAGTAAAGTGTTAGGGTTAAAGCAGGGTATTGTTTTGGACTTCCCCTGAGAAAGGAAAAATAATGCAGTCCATGTTAATAGAAAATTTCTAAATTTTCAAATAAAAAAATTATTAGGACTAACTATACAGAGAAGTGTTTTGTGAATGGTTGCATTAGGTCCCTGGTATTGGTGAGTTGACTACTCTCTTTTCTCACTGGAGGACGATTGGTTTGTTTCAATAAAAATCTACCTACTCTGAGTCTATGGCTGTTGCCTTTACTTTTGAACTTTCAATTTTCCTTATAATTCCTAGTGTAGAATTTACAGATGATGTCCATCTGTCCCATACAAGCTTCTTTTTACTGATCCAATGTCATAGGGAAAGTTGCCAGAGGAAGTCGCTTCCTTTCCTGGGACTATTTTACACACTGAAGACCGCAGCTTGCCTGCCTCACTCCATCCTACACATTCAAGGTCTGGAGTCCAAACAGCTTAAGAAATGAAGGAGGTTCCCTCAGCCCCTTTCTACTGCATAAATGTCAGTTCAAAACACATCTTCATCCCTTCAGGTTACTTCTTTTGACTAGTCTGGGCCTGTCTGTGTAGCCTGGTTCATTCTGAGCTTGCTCAGAAGATCTTTACCTGTCTCAAGATGCCTTGGGCAGGTCAATACAACTGGCTTTGGGTCTTGGGATCTCCTTCAATCAAGCAACTTCTCATTCCTGCTCTGGATATCTAGCAGCTACAACTGACCAAACTACTCCCTTCCCCATGGCTGCTCACATTCCACTCACTGTAGGCCCTATTTATAACAGGGTGTGGCTTCCCAGCCATTGCTGGTCCATGTCATTTCAGAGTCATACTGATCTAAATCACATTCTCTGGGATATTATCCTAATGGCTTTTATGTACTTGATTTTTTTTTATCATTGTTATTATTAAACATAAATAATCTGGTCTAGTTCCCAAAACTGTAGTGGTTTCATTTACACAACTTTTCTATAATGAATAAACAAGAAGAGTTAATTTGGCAGACCTGGCTGTCAAATCCTCCACATCCAAGGTAAAGGCCTCTTCATGACTAGCCCCGGGCCACCTCTTGAGAGAACACCTCTGAGCCTTTGGAATGATATCCCCTATAAGATGTGTTCGTATACGTGAAACCTTGGGCCATGCTGTATTTGTGATGAACTACTGATCCTACCTATCTGGGCCCTTGGGGGTATGCTACACCAGTTTGAGCAAGCGTGTTTATTTTGACAATATATGGCTACCTGGCTTGGCTTGGTGTTGGAGAAGTATGGCTGGGATTTAATCAGTGGCAATTAGCTAGACAATTCATGCTTAGAGGACAAGTCTCTGAAAAAATCCCCAGGCATCAAGAATCAGGTAAGCTCCCCTGTAAACACATATGACACATCATTCTGGAAGAACTAGGGGCCAAGGGGAATCACCAGGAAGCTCCTGGTTCCCCTAGACTTCAATCCATATTCTTTTCCCTTACTATACTGTAATGAACCATAACTGTTAAGTTTAGCAGCTATTTTGAGTCCTGTGAGTCCTTCTGGAGAATTATCAACCCTGGAGGTAGTCTCTGGGCTCTCATATAGAACTCATATTTCTACCTTCTTTTAAATAATAACTTACCTTATATTGAATATCCTGGAGTATCTCAGTCACAGCTTTCAAACCAACATGTTCCTTCCCTATCTGAAATACATAAAGCATGAACCACAAACACACATGAATGCTCAGCTTTTACTCAACCACCAGAAACAGGGCTCCAGTCAACCTGAATGTCCTAGTTGAGGAATTAAATTATCTTTCTATTTATAAGAGTCAGGTCAATATCTACAAAAGGAACTAAAAAGTAACAGAAAAAAGTACCTGAGAATCCATTCCAAATTCATCTTGCTATCACAAAGCCGTATATATACCAAACCACAAAATTTTGTCATATGCAAATGTTACAGGTATATTTTAATCCCCTGGTACATATCCAAACCCTTGCATTCTTACCTTTGGCATCTTATAGAGCACTGTTATAAATATTTTATAAATATTTTATTAAAGCCAAAAAATTTTATTGACTTGGAAAGGTGATTAAATTGTTTCATATATTAATTATTAAAATTAAGACATTTATGGATTGCCACTGAACACAATTCTATGGCTACTTCTTCATGTAGCAAAATGAAGTGTTTCATAGTTTTCTATTTTTAAAACATTACATATATATAATGCAAAATACTCCAAAGAAATTTGAGACTTGAAAACAATGTCTTTTGGGATTTAGTGTCCTGGGCTTTGTAAATTTCCAGTGCCATCCGATTCCCACTTTCCAACCTTGTCTAGCGCCCCTGACAATGGACAGGAAGAGAAGAGCCTGGGTATTTCCTCCGATGGACAGGCATTGTCAGCCTTAGCTTTTTCCCTTTCACTCATGTTTGGAGAAAGTCCTGTGAGAAGCTTTAGTAGCTGTCACATGCACACCTGTTTCTCTTCAGTGTTAACCAAAATGAAATGAACACAGGAAAGAAACAATCTAAGACTGGCCAGTCAGTTCAATGGACTCAAAACTTGGGCCATTCTCCAAGTGTCTGTCATTTCTGATATAGACTCCGAAAACAGAAAATAAAATTATTAGAGTTAAAAAAACGCCTATTGCAAATGTATGCATACGTGCTGAAGCAGCACCACCAGCAGAAGCCTTCCCTGGTCTTCAGGAGAAATGACTCTGCTGCTAGCACATGAAGGCCCGCATGCCTAGCTGGGGTCAGTTCTTCCTTCCTGAGTCTCCTGTCAGATCCTAAGCTCTGAGAAGTTTCCACATCAGAACAGTGTAAGGCTATACACTGTGGTGGTCCAGTAGTGAGCTGGCATGCATTGCAATGCCTGGGTTCTAATCCTGACTCTGTAACATTTTATCCCTGTGATCTTGGGCGGGTTTGTTTAACCTTCATATCCTTTTTCATTTGCTTTTATTTTGAGATTTTTTAATTCCAAGACATTACTCTTTCTAACCAAACCTTCACATCCAGCCTGCCCTTTCTTCCTGTTCTCGCCTATTACTGGTTGTTAGCAGCCAACAGACTCAGCCTCTCTAATTTCACCTCCTTTCTCACTGGACTAAATGTCATCTTTTCTACCACGCTCAGACCTTCTATCCTTTTATCCTCCTAAATCACCTACTCACCAATTGATCATCATAACAGTTTGCTAGAATGTTCTATGAGGACAGAAAACAATCCCTCATGTGCTGTTCCACCCACTCCATAATGTCCAGCCACAAGTGCATCTGGTTCACTGCTATCACCCTTTCTTGGATGTTTCAAAACCAAGCCCCACACTCGGGTTTCTCTTGGTCTACACTTTTCGCTTTGGATCTCTCATTGATAATTGAAGATCATCAAGTGTGAACTTCCCTAATTTGCTGCCTTCTCTTCACCTATGAAAGCAGCTACGATGTGCTCAGCCTTTCCTCCTCGCCTCATCTCCACTTTAGCCCCCTGCAGTCCTTATGCATCCTACCCCTCCTTCTCCTTCAGGATGTCTCTGTACAGGCCACCCCTTCTCTTTTCAGTATTTTTAACACTGTCGGTGCTGCCTCTTCTTGCTCAGAATAAAAACAGGACCTCAGATCTCAAAACTACCACTAGCTTCTCTCCTGCTGTGCTTCCTCAAGTCAAGCTTTTTAGAAAGTCAACACTTGTGGCCCAAATTCCTCTTCAACTGCCCTCTCTGAGCCAGGGGCGCTTCAGCCCCATCCCTCTCTGCTTCCTCTGGCACTCATCAGCCATTTCTTCCTTTGTGAAATTTTATTCTCAGAGGTGATGTAACATACTCTCTCCTGAGAAAGGCATTTTCGCACAGGTTCCCCAAGTCTTTTGCACAGGAAACTCAATGGAAGTGAGAATAAATGTTCATGTTCTGGGCTTTTCTTTACCTACAAACTTCTTCCTGGAAACATGGAGACTATTCCCAAGAGGCTAAGTTTTCAACCCGAGAGTCTAGCAGTCCACATGTCCACATGAAGAATCAGTCAGTAGGAAGAAAAAGTAATCATATTTCACTCAATGCACAGTCATGGGGTACCATTTCCAAAACTGAAGCTCATTTGTCCCCATCTCCCCAATATGACTACTTGTTTATTCAGATTCCTATGTTTATTATTTTCAGTCTTTTTTTTTTTTTTTTTTTTTTTTTTTTGAGATAGGGTCTCCCTGTAACCCAAGCTGGTCTGGAACTCTCTATGTAGACGAAGCTGGCCTTGATCTCCAGAGAGCTACCTGCATCTGCCTCCCGAGTGCTGGAGCTAAAGGTGTTCACCACCACACTCTGCTTATTATCTTTATTCTTTAATAATGGCAGAACGCCTTCTACAACTTCAGCTTCTCCGACCTGATGCTACATTAACTTTCTCAGGTTATAATGGCGGGATAAGAATAGGAGGTAGGAATTGGCTAGGCAGTTAGGGTAAAAAGACCCCAAAGAAAAGTAGCTAGTTTCTTGGCTAAAACTCACAATGTCCTTGGGCCTCTTAGCAACATATTCTGTTCCAGACACCAAAAATGTCAAAAGTATTTGGGAGCTTGTATTTAATCCTTAAAAGATTTTAGGGTTATTTCTTCAGAGGGGGAGAATGTTAGAGTAGCCAAAAGCCCCATAAAAATAAATAAATAAATAAATCATAGAAGAAGAAAGAGTACATGAAGTTATCAAAAAAAAAAGTTATGGGGAGATATGGGAGGAGTTGGAGTTGGAGGGGAGGGAGTGGGCATGGATTTAATCAAAACACCTTATATGGGACTGTGGTACTTTTAAGGTTGTGGCATCCGATACCGTAGAGAGAGAGAAAGAAAGAAAGAAAGAAAGAAAGAAAGAAAGGACACACTAGAGAAAGAAAGGAAGGAAGGAAGGAAGGAAGGAAAGAAAGAAAGAAAGAAAGAAAGAAAGAAAGAAAGAAAGAAAGAAAGAGAGAAAGCAGGCTGAGCACAGGCCAGGGGAGCAAGCCAGTAAGCAGCATTCCTCCATGGTCTGTATTCCAGGTTCTTGCCTTGACTTCCTCTGAGGATGGACAATGATCTGTAAGTCAAATAAACCCTTTCTTCCCCCCTGCAAAAAAGAGGTCTTTCAAAATTTCTGCAGTATACTATAAAATTATCCAAATGTATAATTAAAAATATCTTCTATTATGCCAAGTGTGGGGGTACATGCCTTTACTCCCAACCCTCCACGGGGTAGATGCAGGCAGATCTCTGTGAGCCTGGTCTACATAGTGAGTTCCAGGTAAGCTGAGGCTAAAGAAACCCTGTCAAAAAATATACATACATAATTATATATATATATATATCTTCTATTTATAATTTGATTCCTTCCTATGTATATAATAAGTTATATAACTGAAGGAATGTAGAGTTGTACCTGTGTAAACATGAAATAAATAGTGAAAAGAGGGGGCTGGAGAGATGGCTCAGTGGTTGAGAGTGTTGACTGCTCCTGCAGAGGACCCAGGTTCGATTCTCGGCACCCACATGGCGGCTACAAGCCATCCTTAACTCCAGTTCCAGGGGAATCTGAAGGCTTCTTCTGACCTCTGTGGCAGTGCATGACATGGGCACACTCACATACATGCAGGCAATACACTCATACACATAAAATAATAAAATATTTTTAAAACTAGTGAAAAGAGAATTCGTTTAAAAATGCAGTTTTTTTTTTTTTAATTCTGTCCATGGGTCTTGAACCGTCTTCTCTGGAACTTGAGGGCAGTTAAAATTCCCAAGGTCTCTTTCACATCTATTAAATCTTTTACTACACTAAGTATTGCAGGACAAAATTACAAAGACTCACCTTAGGAATGCTGCTAAATTTTCAGCTTTGTAGCACATGGTTCTATTTTACATGTTTGCTAAATCTAATAACATTCTTTGCCATCCCAGAGTTCAATTCCCATCTTTATATTGGCTAAATATGCCATGGTCTTTACCAGTCATATTTTATCAATTTTTTTCTATAAAGCATTTCAAATCATTTTTTAATAAAAAACATTAATAATGAAGAGCCAAAGTAACCCACTACCTGGCTATATTATTGATTTTTCTTGGATTTTGTAGTAAGCCTGGGTCTAAAAACATTTTCTGAAATTCTTCTTCCTAAATCAAATGAACTCTGCCTTCTGGAGATGTTTTCTAAGTTGTTTCTGCAAAGGCGCTGGTTGCCATTCTGAAGAAAATTCCTAATAAAAAAATGAACCATTTTCTACAAAAAAATATGGCTCAGCTACCATAAACTACAAAGACCAAGCTTTCTATTTTTGTCCTCTATATATAGGCTTAATCGCACCTCTAAATAATAAAATTGAGAATCTAAAATACTTGAAAAAATAACTAGAGAAAGCATCTCTAAACAGCTTAACACCGTAGGACACAATTTACCTGAACAAACAAAGCAATGATGGCGATGCCGTGGGGCTTCCCAACTGCCTCATCGATGCTGCCAAACAGCGTGGCGTTCCAGTGGATCAGATGGAGCTGAGGGCACAACGCAGACGGTATCGCTTAACATATTACTCAATAAAGTAAGGAAGTAGTCCATCCTCTGACTCTATGTGGTACCATGTGCAACACGGTGATCATCAGCAACCATACCAGATCACTGTCTCAAGAAACGTTCTCCGTGAGAATTGCTTCTCATTTCTGCCTCTTGAGTTCAGTTTGGGAGAGGCATGGCCAGAGCAACTCAAAGATTTCACACTGGTTGAGTTGTCACTCTTTAAATGCCATCCCATCTGGAATGAATGGAATAAAACTCCAGGTCTTGAGGCAATACTATCACTCATTCGAAGGACTGGGCCTAGGAGTATGTGTCTCAGTGGTAGAGTGCTTGTGTAGTATGGGTTAGACCCTGAGCATGAACCTAGTACCACCAGAGAAGGGAGATTAGATTATTACCTGCATAATCATCCAGCTTCCATTACAAAATCTAAAAAATGAATTCTCAAATTCTGGTAAACTATTTCAATTCTTTAAGAATATCCAGAAATAGCATGCTAAGGTGGGGGGGGCTGTATTTTTTTAAGCTATGGTAATAATGGATGTCTATGTGAATCTCCAGATAAGGGCTGTTTCCTGATCTATAGATGAAGCTTCTTCTGTGAAGGAATGACTAGCAATGAGTTTCAGAGAGCTCTGTGGCTTTCAGGTTTATCCAGAACATGCCCTTGCTCCTACAGTGCAGATAAACACTGCAAGCAGCCCAATTCAGTTCCCTCCTTAAAAGTCAAAAATGCTACTAGATTCCTTATATAACAGTAGCCAGGTAGGACCTACCTAGAATACTGTCACCTCAGTTAGAGTCTGTGACACTTATAATTACTTAGCACCTTAAAACACCTCTTTATGGACCAGCGAAGTAGCTCTGTGGACAAAGGCACCTGCCATCAAGCTTGACTACCCAAATTCAATCTCTGGGACCTACATGGTGGAAGGAGGGAATCTATCCACGAGTTGTCATCTGACCTCCACATGTACCCATACATACACACAATAAACAAGCAAACTCATAATTTTAAAACACTTCGTTTAGAAATCAGTTTCTCATTGAAAAGAAAATCATACCTAAATTTCATCACTATGTATTTACCATCTATACTATTTTTCAATTATCACAAGAATTGTCAAAAAAAAAAAAAGACTCAGGAAAACAAACGGCATATGTTCTCCCTCATATGTGGGTCCTAGCACCAAATCCTTTTAAATTCCAGGTCCTTTTAATAAGAAGATGCTATACAGCAGTCCCTTCTGCATGAAATAACTACCATCATCATGACTTCAGCTGAGCCTGATCGCTAAACATCATTACAGCTGGGCTTGTTGACGGTTATGCTCATTCATTAAAGGAGAGCCAAGCAGTGTCACTGGACCCTTACTGGAGTATCCAGTCACTCTTCCCAGTGAACTGTATATAATTTGACCCTAATCACACACGGCATCCTGGATTTGGGGAGGTCTAAAATATAAAATCTGTGGAAGGCTAGGAAGAGAAGGCATGACCCATGCTGGGTAAAGGCTATCGCTATCCAGTGTGCATACACCCTTAGGTCATACATACACCTCAGCAACCCCTTAGTGTCAAGGAACTGACACTGATTCTAACTACTCCAACAGCTATCAAAATACCTGAAAGAAAATTCTGAATCCATCACTTTAGAGTCCAGCCTTGGAAGACAAAAGAAAAATGAGGAAGAACCCAATAGAAGGATGCTTTTGGAAGCCCTTGTCAAGAAATTTCCATGGACTCTCATAATGAACATTTGAAAATTGCCCTGTTCTGACTTCTTTCTAGTTCCCTGTCTAGAACTTGTAATGTTAATTACTCTTGCCTTTACTTCTCCTTTGCATCTCCTATTCATGATTCAAAGACTTTCTTTTCCCCTTAGAGATAAGAGTCATACAATTTGGGAGTCTTTCAGATAGACCCACTGAAAGGGTATTCCAATTGCCTCACCCTGCGCCCCTGTTCAGCATGGAAGAAGCCAGAGCAGTCTGCATCCCTATTCTCTACAGGCAATTTGGGTAACCCCTCAGAGGATAGTGTGATAAGAATAAGAGGTAGGAATTGGCTAGGCAGTTAGGGTTAAAAGACCCCAAAGAAAAGTAGCAGGTTTCTTGGCTAAAAGTCAAAATGTCCTTGGGACTGTTAGCAACATACTCTGTTCCAAAGGCCAAAAATGTGAAAAGTATTTGGGAGCTTGTATCTATCTAATCCTTAAAAAATTTTAGGATCACCTCTTCAGAGGGGGAACATTAGAGTACCCAAAAGCCCCATAAAAATAAATAAGTGAAAGAAAAAAAAAAAAAAACTTCATTCTTCAACTGCTGAATTTGTCCATATATAATCTGAAACTATAAAACTGACCACCAGAGGGAGGTAATCAAATCCATAATGGCAACGAAACCCAAGGCCAAGCTGAAAACTCACAGGGACTGTAAAGGCCCAGTAAATGTTATAACTGTCAAGGCACTGCCTTTATGAAAGCTACATTCTATTACCCCACAATTAATGATAAAAGAATAATTTTAATGTTTCTTTTACACAGTACAGATGAGACCTGGCAGCTCTCACAGAATCAACAAAAAGGTCTAAGCCTTCAGTGGGAAGATATTTTTATTCATCAAATTAAAGAGCTTAAACTCACATTTTCTTCTCATGGCAACATTATGGGGCAGTTATTTTCAGAAATCAAACATGAATAAGTCAAAAAGCGTGACTTTTTGTTTTCATGTACTTATTAGTATATGGTTTTGTTTTGTTTGGTACTCCTCACAATTCGGCAACATCATCACTCACATCTCTTCAAAGACATTTTCATATTATTTTAAGTGTTTTAAACCTTTAAGGGTCCCCACTCTTTATGTGTGTACTATGCATGGAGACTGTTTCAAAGAGTACAGTATAGAGAGAGGGTTTAAAAAAAAAGAGAGAGACGGACTTTATAGTGGAGGAACCCAGTACAGCCACGTGATCAAGGTCAACACACACATGACTTGTCACACTGACAGTAGGGGTCTCGGTAAGTGATAGAGATGGCACTTTGCCTCTGTGTTCCTCCTCCCAATAAACCCTTATCCACAATGTAGTCATGATTAAAACCTCTGACAAATCAGTGAGGGCAAGTCTACAGAACACCTGCCTAGGATGCCTCAAAACTGTCAGGATCATCAAGAAAAAAATGAGAAATGGTAAGAAGAACCCAAGACCAGAGTGCTAACTGCAAAATGGCATCATAAGTGAGACTCTATGACAGAAGGAAAGTGCACAAAAATTAAGGCCATCTGAATAAGATATGGACTTAATAATGCATCAGTACTGGCCCACTAATTCTAACAAATGAACTATGTCAATTTGAGACACTAATAGAAGAAAATGGCTATGGGGCCCGTCGGAAGTTTTCTGTCCTATCTTACAATTCTGCATATCAAAACTGATCTAAAAATAGTGGCTTTCTTTCCTTTAAAAGACAAAACAAGGAAAAATTAAGAGAAATACTAGCATTTCAGACATCTTAAGGTAAAAAGGGGTTATGACTATCTGTGGTAACCACGTTCAGCATAATCATTCGAAATAAAAGTAGCATGAGAGCTTCTATCGCCTGTCTCCTAGATATTACCTTCTCCTGACGATACTGTCCCTCTCCTATATTAAACCTCTGCCTCCCAGAGTTAAGAGAACACTGCGAAAGAGGAAACAGAAAGACTGTAAGAGCTGGGTTAGTAGATGATTACAAAGAAACAGGTGATGGAAAACTGCTCATATGAACTTACAGCAACAGTGACAGCATGTACAAGACCCACGCAAATGCAAACCAGACAAAAACCCAGCACAAAAGTGAGGAAACAGGTAAAAAGTCCTAACTTTAGCTGAGGAACTATTGGCAGATGATCACTACTAGGTGAAGGAGAGCTGTTCCTCTTTAAGGGAGTGATGCTAGATAAACTGACCAGGATCCAGTGGATGAACTCACTTGGGGACACAAACTTGACTCTGTAAGCCTTAACATAGATGACAGTGAGCATGAAGTCCAGCAGGGGGAGATATGAGGGGTGCAGCTAGGGGAGGGGGTCTAAATATGATTAAGATGTATCATAGGAAATACACAAAAATGCAATAAAGATTTTTAAAAAGATGCTGTCCCTCATTACAAGATCAAGCAGACAATCAGAGACCCCTTTTCCCCACAAGAAGATGGCTAATTCAAGTTCCAGGCAGAGTCCCAACATCCTGGAAGTTGGCCGGCAGGCCAGCTGTCACCCACAGCATAATCCACAGGCACAATGTACTCTGCATTTTGGTGCCTCTCCATTTTAGGCCACCCTGCCCCCCAAGTGCTTTCATGATCTATCTGTACTTCTTTGTGAGAGCCACCATCACTGTGTGCCATAGACTGGAAGGCTTAAGCAACAGGAATTTCTCATCGTTCTGGAGGTTGGAAGGTTGAGCTGGAGGTGCTGCCAGGGTTGGTTTCCTGTGGGGTCTCTGTCCCAGGCTTGAGTGTTGCTATCTCCTCCACATCTTCACATGATCTTCCTTGCATGTGAGTCTGTGCCCTACCCTCTGCCTCTTACAAGGACACAGTCATATTGAATGAATGTCCATGCATGAGTCCTTTCCTAATTACTTCTGTAAAGATCTGGTTTCAGATACACTCATATTCTGATGCACTGGACATCAATACTTGAATCTGTGGGGGACAGAGTTCCATTCATAGTCCTGTCTTATCTCCCCTGTGGTGAGCAGGACTGACCTGGCTGCAGGCATTTTGAGTAATGACCACCATGACTGCCCCTAGTAACCCTCGTGTGTTTTCCCACAGTACTATTTCTAGAATACTGACCATATCTTAGGCTGGCAAATGAAGATGTGTGACCAACCCTGGCACTGGCACAGGAAAACATCAGACAGCTTGACCCTGCCAAGAGATAAACCAAACACCAGCTTTCCTGGCCTTCCCTTCCTTCCACCCAAGTCCTGG